GAGCAGGCGGGGGCGGGGGGTGTCGGTGCGAGCCGCGGGCAGCAGCAACCTCAGCAACGTTGCCGCACAGGACGTCGACGGGTGTCCTATATCGCTTCCAGTAGTGCAACAGAGACAGAGATAACCCCCAGAACAAACGAGACGGCCATAAAACCCCTACTGGCGCGAAGCAGTTGGAAGGCAAAACCTGCGTTGCCGAATGTCGAATCGAGGACATCCCGCCCCCCAAAAGATAATATAAAGTAGCGTCATGGGGAATGACCAAGTGGGAGAGTGAAGGGGTGCGCAGAACTTCTTGGCCATCCGCCGATCGGCGCCTGACGTTCAAAACTAAGTCCACGGGGTAAAGAAAGAGACAGTCCCCTCGACCAGACCTCACAAAGCCATACCTAGAGTCCTAGGTACCTAGGACTCTAGCCATACCCAGCCCAGCGTCCCTGCCTGGTCGGTTGAGAGGGGAGGGAAGGGAGAAGGGAGGGGGGGACAAAGCTGATCGCAGCGCTTGCCCCGCCGCCACACTCGAGGCACTCGAGCCCCTTTGCAGCCCTGTTCCAAAGAGAAAAAGAATTTATTTAGCTGAAACGCGGGCGAGCAGCGCGACTAGCGATACTAGCGACGGGCAGGGAGAGGGAGGGAGGGGGGGTCCTCCTGACCCGGCTCGGCCCATTCGCTTAATTTTGGGGCACCGACGACCGGGGAGCAAATACTTTCGAGACAATACCATTGAGGCATATTGTGTAACTCGTCAGCAAGGGTGTGTCCCTGTGCGTTACAGAGGTTGACTTTGCCGTGTAGAGTCTCCACCCACCCGTCTTTCCGACCTGCTTGGGGCGTTATGCTGGCACTGCCTCTTCGGCCTCGAGACCGGCCCTGATGAGACGTATTCGTTCGGTTTAGGGTAGTGTGAAATGAACTGAGGATTACCATGGCACTTGTATTTTCTTACTCACATGACACACACACACACACACACGCGCGCGCGCACACGAGCAACCGCAGTCTTTGCTGACTCGAGGAGAACTGAGCTAAATGCCCCAACACGGGCTTAAATGTAACCTTTCGTCCAAAGAGAGGGGCCTCAATCCGGCGGCACCAATAAAGGTGCCTCTCACCCGGCAAAGATGGCAAGTATAAATGCATTTAATGTTGCAGCGGCCCCGGCTGGGTACCAGCTGAGCTCGCCGGGCTGACATTACCGATAAACGTACCAGGTAGCCGACTCCCGACTCGCATGCGGCTCCTTATGGCATGGCCCCGTGTGGGTAGGGAACCCACCCGCATGCGTACCAGGTATCCGGAAAAATACACGGCGGCTCGATAGGTTGCCTACGCACTGGAGTGCAGGCGCGGAGGGCAAGGGGGTAGCGGTGGAGGTGGCGGAAGGCGGCCGGTTGCCTTCCGTCACCTCCACCGCCCCACCCCTTGCCTTACACGCCTGCACGTCAGTGCATTGGCAACCCATCGAGCTGCCGCGTATTCTCCCGGTTCTACCTTCTGGTTCTAGGGTAAACGGGCCGTGTCCGTTTCTTTTGCGCGTCCGTGTCCAGGCCCTTGATCATGCCGTTGCCGTTGATGCGTGTCCCCGGGTGACTCATGGGGGGGGGGGGGTCGAGCTCGGTGCCCTCGAGTTTGGTGAAAAAGGAGAAGCGAGGAGTGGGGGGGGGGGCGTTTTTTATTTCCTTCTGGTAGAGAAGTCTCGGGGACTTCGAAAAAGAACGGAGGGAAACAAGGCGAGACTCTAAAACAGACGTTTTAGTGCGGGGGGACATCATAAGGGCGGTGGCACGAACGTCTTACATATAGTCTGACAGTCACACGTAGTATAAGCCGCCCTCGCCCCTCTCGGCGCCAGACCCGCTTGGGTCACCTACGCAGCTTCTAGTACGTACGCAGCGCGCTCATGATGAGCTAATGCCCTCGTATCATAATGACCTTACACACGACGACGTGCCTACAGTGGGGTCATGTTGATATCCAGGCTTGAAGAAGCTTCCAGGATCTAAGATCCATCACACGATTCATTGCACTGTCACTCGGAAATAGCGCGTGGACTTTCATTTCATAAAAGAATCCCAATTGAAGAGGGGGGGGGGGGCATTTGTTATTACTACTAACATAGTAGTGTATGTACATTTGGTCATTCCCTCTGACGTCGGCCGCAAGGCTGCCCACCGACTGATAACCGACTGCTATGCCCCCCTCCCCCCTTACCCTTCTGATCGCTACTTACCTGAGGACGCACAGTTGGTCATTCCCTCTCGCAAAGACGGCAACGTCGCTGCCGCTGCCACCCCCACCCCCTATCCCCCTACCGCACTCCGCCGCTGTTGTCCCCCCCCCCCTCATCCTGTTGCTTGAGCCACGAACGAACCAACCAAACCGGTGCAGTGCAGAGTGCAGAGCAGCGCAGTCAGATTCGTTGCCCGGGTCATCCTTCACCGCAACGCCTCGTTTCGTTTCCAGAGCCGCAGCTCAGCTGGACAAGACACTTGTACCTTCCATGTTGTATTTGGTGCATAGGTTATTCTCCTGTCCTTGATACCTCCATATCCTGTGGCGATTCGGTTAGCGTCTGGTGTGACTTCTGTGTAAGTGCCATCGAAGTGGAAGGGTTTGGGCTGCCCTTAGGGGCTCTGGTGCAGCTCTAGAGTGGGATTCTGGGCTACTCCAGTGTCCCCGAGGGCTATTGCTCTTTCTAAAATCTTATTACTTCTGATTCCTTCATACCGCAATTAACGAATGTAAATTCCATTTACCTTATTGTTCATGAAGAGCCACTATCTTTACAAGTTTTTTTTTCCCCCTCCTCTTTAGGGAAATCAGTTAACATGGAGACGTGTCCCTACGAATTAGAGGATCATGTGAGTTTTGTTCCTCGCTACTACAGGCATCTGATGCCAGATAACTGGTACCTGGATGGTAGTCAAGTGAATGTTTTGGATCGATTGTCAGAAGACGACTATCAGTGGAAAAAAATTTCTCAGAAAATGGGTAATGAATTTGATGTGGTTGAGATTTGGAAAGTCCAAAACCCACGTTCATATGGCCGTTATGCACAGAGAGCATTGAAATATGAAAACTGGTTCGGAAGGGAACCCAAACGCTGGCAGTTGTTCCATGGCACGCAGGAAGAAAATATTGACAGTATTATTGAAAACAATTTTGATCTGAGAAATCTGCACACTAAAGGTTGGTTGTTCTGCATAAATTATGGTGCTTACTGAACTTATTAATTTTTGTTTTGATTTTTCATTTAATGTCATGAAACTGCTTGCTAATGCTTGCAGGCAAAGGACACCATACATAATATATCATGTTTTTTTTAATTTTTAGACACCTCATTTTATTTTACTGGTGAAGGTGTTTATTTTACAAACTCTGCAGCTTATGCAGATTGGTGTGTTGGTGGAAGTGATACAAGGTCAGTAAGCAAAGCCGTACATGTATTGGGAATATGCTATCACTCTCTCCCAGTGTAATTACTTTTTCTTTAAATTTTGACAGGTGCTATATGTTTAACTGTGAAGTGCTGATTGACAGTATTAAAAATATATACAATCCACACTCTGTACGCTTTGGACCTCCTGCTCGAAAAGGTTGTGAACAGGAAGTGGCTGAGGCGCGATCCGAAGGGAGAGATCCTCACCCCTCTACGGTGTAAGTATTGCTTCTTTTACTTTCAATCAACACCTTTTAAAGTAAACCTCTAAATACTTGCCTTGATAAATTAGTGTTCTCTCTCTCCCTCTGGCCAAAATGCAAATTTGGTTTAAGACTGGCTTTGTAGGTAATTTTAAAAATCTTTACTCAATTTTCAGTTATGACACCACTGCGAGGGCAGATAAGGATGAATATGTCAAGTTCCGCAAAAACGAATTTTACCCTTTGCATCTTATTATGTATGATAGATGCTAGTAGTCTTGTGTGGTAAGACTCAGACCCCTGTGGAAACAGTAAGACGTTAACTACTTTTATTTTTTTATGATTTCTGTTCTATTTTTCCTTATGAAGTTCCGTAAATATGTATATCTTACCCAATGCATTTTATGTATGGTAGATGCTAGTAGTCTTATGTGTTAAGACTCAGACCCCTGTTGGTGCAGTAAAATTTCTTGTTCTATTGTCTATTGTGAAGTTCCAAATAGACTAATCTTACGTAATACATCTTATTATGTATGATAAATACGAGTGATCTTTTTTGTTAAGACTAGACCCCAGATGGTGCAATGATCTTTTTCTTTATAATTTTTCTTTGTATTCTTTCAAAAATAAAAGATCAAGTGAAATGAAATGTTTTATTGCTCTCAACCCTGCTATGATACTGGACAAAATTTTCTTTTCTTAAAGCAACTTGCACCATTTTCATGCGTGCTCCCAGTCGCAAAAGACATTACTCACACGAGTGGCTACAAACGACAGGGACGACAGTGCAGGGGCTCAGGCAGAGGGAATGTTACCCGTGTGGGAGCACCTTGTGTTATGTAATAATATGTGCAATGTCATCACATGTTTGTCTTATCTTTTCAGCTCATAGTGGTCTGTATTTGGGGGGGAATGAGGTTTTAGTTTGGTATTTTACACTTCTTAACTGCAAACAACAATCTTTAATTAAACACAACATAGTATGGTAACAATCTTTGTCTTGCAGCTATCACAATCAATGCAATTACCTTCTGCTCTTATTTTAAAATTCATATAATATTTTCAGTCATCTTAAACTTGTATTTATTTTGTTACCGAATTTCAGAAAAGTTGCTAATTTAAAAAGTTATCCAGTTTCAAAAATTTTCAATATCTGGAATGATACATGCAGATGTACTTTTCAATACTGTGGGACAACTTTCCTTTGGCTTTGATGGAAAAACTAAGGAGCACATAGCAGAAAATGCATTTTGCATTTAACTTATTAAATGAAAAATAAATACAATCATGGTTTATTAATATTTGCAGAAATGATTTCTTTTTCTAAATCCTGATGTAGAAGTTGAAGTTTATCAGTGACTTGTTTTTGAGCTTATACATCCATTTTGAGTGGTTGTTACATATTCCTGTAAAACTTTCTTTAAAGCAACAATGAGAGTATAGATTTCAGAAAAATATCTTGCTTGTGCGATCATTTGAAAGCCATCTTCTGACAGAGGCAAGATCAGAAAAAATGCTTGATTTTCTTTAACTTAACAGAATTTCAATCTCAATTGGGCAAGAAATCAATGAACATGTACACTAAACATAACAGGTCTTAAGGACAAAAAGATCTGTAGGTTTTTGTGCTTTCATCCTAAAGGATGAAATTGTTAACATTGCTTTCAGAATTATTCAAATTTCTAAATTTAATGCTGTTCTAAAATTTTTCTGAATGACTTTTCTTTTTATTTTATCTATTACCATCCACCCAGTTGGGTGTGGGTGAATTTCTCTTAAAAGGGAAGCAGCTTAAAATACATTTCAATGTAGAGCAGAAACATAATGAAGAAGCTTATCAAAAGACACTTTTCCAAATTAATTCCCTATAACTCAATTTTCAAAAATAAATTCGCTAAAAATAAACTTTTAACATTTTCTCTTTTATACTGACTACTAAAAAATAAACTTTTGTACAATGAAAGAAGCATGACGATGCCACAACCAATCACTGAGGAAGCTTTGAGTGGCAATGGCAAATCAAGAATTAATAGGAGGGGCAGGCAAATACTAACAATGTAGCCCATTATTTACAGGTATTATTTTGCCTGACTTATATGTATCTGTTCTCCATTCAAATGGTACAGGGAGATCAGGGAGAACGAGAGCAATTGCTGTCTCCGTGGATACATCCTTTATGCCAACACATCACTCTTGATAGAGCTAGTCATCCTCAACCATTCCTCAACTATTCCAGTCCAATTCAAATTGCTACCGAATCTTTCCCTACCAGCCAGCTGATAAAAAGGAAAGAGTTTGGCCAACAACCATTATCACTATCTGACAGGTTCTAAATACTATACTTCATTTAAGAGTCACAATATACACTTTTTCTAAAGTCAGATCTGGTAAAGAAATGTAAATTGAAAGATCGTTTCATTTTAAACTGAAATGTTTCAACAAAGTAAAAACACAGATAATTAAAACAAGATTGGTGAGTTATTTAATGTGGTTTACAAACAGTAAACACTTAAATCAAGATGAAAATGGCTAATCTTTCAAAAAAGTTGTAACTACAAACTTAACGGCACTATTTAACATCTAAACAATGATATTGTCATTAAAACCAATTAGTTTTGTATGATATTTTTTTCACGGCAATCATACAAATTTTATTGCGAGCACATTTACCTCTGCAGAAGCATTTGTGCAGAATTTCTAACATATGCATTGCTCATTACACTAACATTTAACTCTCTTATAATCACATCAGGATCAGGCTATTAAAATATTGTAATGTCTATCATCCTCTGCCAAGAGATCTACAAGCCTTCTATTATCAACACCTTCACTCATATCAACACCAATGTCCTCTGGGTTGGGGTAGCTACAAACATAGTCTTGAGAGCCGAAGGCAGATGGTCGCACCACGCGTATACGTATGCCGAGGGAGTAGCCGAGCAAAAACATTTCAACCTGGCGAAGAAAGATAAATTGTTATATTATGACAGTTCCAGTTATGTATCAAGAATGTGTCAAGAATGGTGCTATCTAAGAATTAACAGATCTTATTTTTCATGTCCATTTACATTGATGGGGTGTTCAAATTTAAATATGAATAAAGAATAAGATCCACTTTTACAAACGGGAGTTATATCTGGATTCTTATCAAATCAAATCTAGAAGGGCTTCCGAGCTTTATAATTGTAGTACTCCTAAAGCTTATTTTTAATAAAGCTGTGAGAGAAGCAAAGTTTAGTGAGTGGAAGTTAATAAATTCTGAAAAACTAAAGCAGATGATCACCAAAATGCTAAAATGATGAAAAAAAAGAATGAAATGTGGTATGGTTTTTCTTTCTTCTGTGAACAATGTATCAAGAAATATAATTGAATTGCACATGAAAAGCCATGCAATATTAAATAATCTAAGTGTCCTAGATAATCCATATTGATCCAAAGAGGCATATGATTCAAAGCCTAGAGTGAGACACATGGCTAACTCATAGTACCATTGCTAACCTGCCCCCTTAGAACAACAAGGAAACCTATTGTATCCTTATATGGGATATGAGATATTTGTGTTTTGATGAAATCAAAGTTTAGACATGCCCTCGAAAAGCAAATTTCTCTAGAGCACTCACTTTTCCCTCATCCTTGATTGCCTAGAAATGTTAGAAAGATTGTACATGCTTGTTAGTCTTCTTTCAAAAATTCAGACAGACATACCATATGTACTCTATACTAAATCCATACTACACAATTTGTAATGTACAATTATAAGAGGAGTGTACAGAATAAGAAATATGTACAAATATTCATTTTTCTCCCCTCTCTTTAGGAAATGGGTGGTAATATCCGGATTATTGTATGTCATTGACGGTCTCCAGTAATTAAAAACAGATGTACAAGAATAGGCATTGCCAATAATATATTTACTAACCTGTTCAAGACCTGCTGTATCACCCACATTCTTCAGGTGGTTATTCATTAGATCACAAGGTGTTGAAGAAGTATCCCTGGCAAAGAGCAATTCAGCAAACAATGGAAGTGGAGCTCCTTGGTCTGCGGCATTCCTCAGCTCCAGAGCCCCAACCAACATTAATAGTTTGGCAGCCTCACAGAGACGAGCGTCCAGCCAGGGATCAGCATTGAGCATGTTGGCTAAAGCGGATTCTTTATCTGATGCCAACTGAAGTCTCTCAATCTTAAAAACAAAGAGGCATGGAGAATAAGAGATCTTGTTTTAAATAAGAATAGACAAGAGATCTTGATATTGCACTTACCGTTGAATCAATACTAAGAAGACAGTCTCTTATGCCATTTTCTACATTCTCCCCCGCGTAAGGCAATCTTCCAGCAAAATTCCAAGACCGCAACCAATGTCCTGCTGAATTTGTTAGCAGTTCAGAGCAGCGGCTGGCAGCAGCCTGCCCTGAAGGTAAAGGAAGCCCACGGGCTAGGGCTTGAAAAATTGTTCCACGAACAGCACAGTAGTTGTCTCCACGAACAACTCGGATTGCATTTAGACCCAAGATGCCAGGAATTTCACAGTAGCCCTGAATAAGTGCAGGAAATTCAAAATTAATTTGAGATAATAAGACAGTCAGGATTCAGGAACAGGTTTGGCATTGGCATACATTCCAACAAGTATTAATTAGATTTAATTTTACCTTAACTATGGTCTGAGCTTTCTTGGTGTCTCCTTGCCATTCCTTTTTGACATATTCTTGAATGCTGACTCTCTGGCCAATTGCAATAGGAATAGTCGAGGCTGGCGTAGCTGGTGTGATAGCGGCACTACTGGACCATGCATCGGACAAGCCAGACAGCGATCTGGACAAAACGCTCACTCCAGAGCTGGATGAGCTGTGAGTCAGAGCTCCTTCTGACTGAAGCCAGCTACACACAAAGAGAATAACCAGTTGAGAGGATATTTATTGCCTTGCCAAGCAACAGCCATTCTCAAAAATGATTTTAAAAAAAAATAATGTGAACAGCACCATGGTCTTTTTCTGTAGCAAACCCATAGTATGTTATGCATGCTGATTACTGATTGCAAAATCAACAAACCTTTCTGGAGATATTGGTGACATAGCAGACACTGGATTTATATCTGGATTGACTTCAGCCAGAGGGAGGTGCAAGTTGTCCCTAGACATTATTGCCTCCTTTGGTGACGTCTCCTCATCTTCCTGATCCAAATCTGGAATTGGAGCTGATGGGTCCCCCACTTCTGAATCGGCATCCAGCTCAAAGGTGGCCATTGATGAAGTGAGCATGCTATCAGAGTCACGCAACGATGCGTCGAGAGACAGTTGGCGTTTCTGGTAACCCTCGGTCTTCTGAAAGAACAGGGAAGAAAATTACTTGTAGACTGTGCCGGTTCACCCCGTTCGCATTTGTAGATAGACTGTACCGAGCGCACGTGTGCATTGGGGACCGTCCGGAAAGTACGGCCGTTTTTCTCAAATCCATTTGGCAAATTATGGGAGCTCGGCGCCTGCGAGACTCGGGGTAGGCCACCCCGCAATACACGTATGCACTGCGAGCAAGACTTTGCCTACCCATCAGGCGCTATTAGCTTGCTGAAGGCTGATGTGAGCTTTGCTGGTTCGTAACGGTGAGTAACGGACGTACTTTCTGGATAGTTCCTTACTGAAGCGATTGGGAACGCTATACTTACTATTCTGTTGTGGACTGGTGATATGTTTGCGGCACACGCCCCCAAAACTAAATCATTGGCAAGACCGGAGTCCTCTAATGCGGGATCCGGGTAAGACATGTCCTCCTCATCCCACTCGAGGCTGGTGAGAGGCTCCTCACTCACCGTGGGCGGGAGTGCCCTTCCCTGGAGAGTAAAAAGTTCATTAGCCTTCCGTCACTCGTCTCCTCTACACACACTACACACGGGCGCAGCTAGAGCAGCTCATTTACCGGGAAGGACAGGCCCTGGTCCCAGTCGCTGAGGTCCTGGTCGGCCAGGTCCACCTGGTCGAGGTCCAGGGAGGGCGAGCTGGTGATGCGCGTCAGCGAGTACAGTCCCGCGAAGCACGCGCGGGCGCGCGCCCGCTCAGCCAGGGCCTCGGCGTCGTCCTCGGGGACAGCGCCGCCGCCGATCCTCGGCTCAGCTGGAAGAGAAGCGTCCTTTCACAAACAAGTTCAAAAGTTTGGGGAAGACGCGAACTTTTCAGACCGAAACCACCCCCGCTTGAGCACCCAAAGCTCGTCTCGAGGGGAAGGACCACCGCCACCCTCTGGATGAGGACGCCGGCCGGGCGCACCAGCTGGCACTGCAGCCGCACCGCACCCTGCAGCACGCGCTGCTCCCCCGCGCCCCACCCATCCCGCTGAGAGAGGACGTTCGCCCCCCAACTGAAGACCCGCTCACCAATAAACACAACTTGGCCGCTCGCCGAGGAGGGCCCCCCCCCCCCGACTCAGCACATGGGGAAAGGGGGCTCAGTAACGAGTTACGATCGAACAGGGGGCGTCCTATGACCGTGCCAGCCCAGGGAAAAAAAAATAATAGAGAGAAGAATGTGTTTAGTTGTGGAGATTGTCCAACTTGGCTGCCTCCATGGCCATGAGCGCGGCGCAGCAAGGAAGGCAGCCGGCAGCATCATGCCATTGGCATCAGGGCTTATTTTAGATTTGCTCGGCGGGGAGAAGGAGAGAGAGAGAGAGAGCACCGGGGGGG